ACAAACATGTCGAGCTGAGTTTTCAAGAAAGTCTTTGAAGTCATACTCACAATTAATCCTTAGGCCCATTTGGCAAATAAGGATTATTCCATGGGAAAGGCGCACGAAAGATTTTTGTTTACGATGCATCAAAAACGAGCGAGTGATCGAAGCAAACGAGTGAGTTTTCTGATGCATCGCCGCGAGTGAATAAAAATTGTCACAGAAATTTCCATGATGTTTTTATTTCATACCTACTGAAATTTGTACTAACCAATTGACACTTTTCAAAGATTGGAAACGAACGACTCTGAAAATACATCGTTTGTCCAATCAGTTACACGAACGATAGTAATTCACCTTGTAAATCTCAGTATGTATAAAATGAAAAGGCTTATACCATGCCATGAGCGGCGAGGAAATTTAAGGCTATTGCAGCACCAAATGCAAGGGCCTTCGATGCCGATTTTGGTCTTTTGTTGGCAACTAACACCATTTAGAATTATAGCTGAGATTCGACCCAATTTTAAGAAAAACCATTGGGACTTTCCGTTAGTCAGCTACATTCCTAAGCAAAAAATTTTTATGACGTTTGTTGCTCTTTTCTCTCAACTGGAACCAAAGATAAAACTTTTAACCGATGACTGCTTCTTCAGCTCTTGAGCTATGCATTAAAAATGGCTATTACAGTCTCTGCTTCAAGAGGTTCATGCTCATTTACATACAATTTTTCAGAAATTCGATCGTTTATTCACTTGTCCTGGCGATATAATACAGATATGTTTTCCTTAATTCTCGTTCCTTTGCTTTCGTTTCACGAAAAAAACAGTTACACACACCACTTATTTCATCACAAAATTTAAGAGTAAATTGACCTGTAATTAGCATATTACTGGTCAAAGCGGGTCAATCACCTGCAAAGGATTTACCTAATTATTGCATTGCCTTAGATAAAGAATCTAGAGAGACTGAATACTAGAAGTTAGGTAAGGAACTTGAAAGATAACTGTTAGAAAAATAAGTGAATAAGTAAGTTGTGTACAATAACATATTTATTTGAGAGCAAGAAGAACCATACAATTTGATT